ACTGTAGTACCTGTGTACTGTAGTACCTGAGTACTGTAGTACCTGTGTACACCCTGGAGATACAGTAAACAGTGGCTGTGATTGGTTCTTCAGAAATACCTCTTGGCGCAGGTCACGGAGCAGAAACGTTTGGTTCCTCGGAACTGACTGACAGGAGCAAAGTGTTTGCAGTACTCGCACTTCAGCACTAGGACACAGAAGGAGCAGAGGAGAGAGGAGAGAGGAGGTGAAGACAGAGGTGGAAACAGGAGGTGACATCATCCACAGGTGGGCGTGGCCTTTACCTGCGGCTGTGGTGACAGTCTCTGTCTGGTTGGTATCTGGACTCTCACTGGTCAAACCATCAGATCCAGAGTGTTTGACTGGACCGCAGACCTGTGATTGGACACCAAGAATGTCAACATGAAAACACTCTCAGTGTGTGTGTGTGTGTGTGTGTGTGTGTGTGTGTGTGTGTGTGTGTGAACATACTGGGAAAGGCTCCGCCCCTTCCTGTATTACAAAGCCCTCGATCAGATGAGTCAGGACATGAGGTTTGACCACTGCCTGAGGAGGAGCAGCTCTGACCACCTGACCTCCTACACCTACAGACACGGACAGGAGCGCAGAAGGAGGAGGAGGAGGAGGAAGAGGAAGAGGAAGAGAAGGAGGAGGAAGAGGAAGAGGAAGAGAAGGAGGAGGAAGAGGAAGAGGAAGAGGAGGAGGAGGAAGATGAAGAGGAAGAGGTGTGAGTTTCATATTCAAATAATAAGATAGAAAAGTGTTGATGATTTTAGTCTTATCACCAGCTTTCACAGGATTGGTCTGGAGTATAATGGCCTGGTCTCTGATTGGCTGGGCATGTGGAGGGGCGTGGTCATCGTCATCATTGGCTGAGTTTGACTCAGACTTTCTTTTCAATGATCCACTCAGAGGTTTCCCCTGGAAACAGGTTCAAACAACCACACTTTAGGATGGACATCCATCCATCCATCCATCCATCCATCCACTCATCCATCAACCATCCATCAACCATCCATCCATCCATCAACCATCCATCAACCATCCATCAACCATCCATCCACTCATCCATCCATCCGTTCATCCATCCACCCTTCTTCTTCTCTCCCTGTCATGAAGGCTGTATTTATTAAAAATACTTTTTTTTCTTCTCTTCTATTTGAGTGAATCTTTCAGCTCTGTGATTGGTCC